CACTACAGAAAATGGGCTAAAAGTGTTAAAAACCGAACTTCTCCTTTAAGTAGTTTTTGGAGCACATAGTTTTTCACTTTTACCTGAGTAAAGAATTCAAATTAATACTTCAACTTTTACCAGTGTTTTTAAACTGCAGTATCTATACTTCGACTTAAGTAAGAAATGTGTGTAGTTTTGACACCACTGTACTTTATGGAAAAAGTCTAATCTGGAAAAGACAGTTGTTGGTTGTCTCCTGTATGGGGAAACTAGCTGTATTCATTAATCAGGTTGGATTTGTATATCCTCAATTTTGTCCAGAGTACAGGTGACAGTGCAAACTTGGTTATGCACCGAAATTGCAACAGCTGACAATGTTTGAAATAGATTTACAAAAGGATTTTAGAAAAGCATAACACTGTTGTTTCCTAGTTTACCAGCCATGAGAGGCAGAGCAACAACATTTCTGTTTTTCTAAGCATCTCTAAGAAAGAGTAATCAACAAACTTCATTGACTATGTTTGAAGTGCTGTATAATCAAAATAATTTTTGAGAAAACTATATTATAGACTTGTTTTAAAAAGCATTAGAGCCTCCTCCTTCGAGGAGTTTATCCTTTAGTCATAACGCATGCTACAAAGTCCTAGAGTTCCATTTGGGTTTTGTTTGACTACACCATATTTCCAAACTTTTCATAATTTTGTACAGCAGAAGTTAAATGGACGTCATCATACATTTTTCTCCAGTGGTGCCTAAAATAATGAGTTTGGCAGAGATAATAGAGGTTGACTGCAATACTAGTAGTTTACGTGGAAGAAACTTTTCATGTTACTTCTAGGTACTTGCAAGTAGGCAACTCTCCCGATTCTAATTTTGACACATCAGAAGATTTGTTTCTTATCAAGGGTTTTATGTACAATTTGTGTAAATTTAATGCAAATTGTTAAAATAAAATAAAAATATTTAGTAAAAAAAAATTAAAGAGTTTAATAATGATTACTAGCGTTCTGAACAGAGGTTTCGCATGGTCTTACAAATTTACTAAAATGCACATACCCTGCATACATTACATGAAATGATTTGCATTTGTAACATTAATCTAACACAGACTATTTTAAATTACGGCAAAGATGAATTAAGTAAAACTCCATCTGATTGCAATAACTTTTATAAGAATAAATGAAAAATTAAAGTTTCAGCAAATAGAAAAAGGCAGAAGAAGGTGGTATTTAAGAAGAAATGTCTTCAAAAGAGAAAATGCTGGATCAATGACGATATATCTGTATCTTAAATATTTAGGTGATGAAGACCTGAGCCCTCCCAGAAGGTTGAAGTTTTCTAAAAGAAAGGTTGCTGCAAATGGAAAATAAAATGACACCTTATTTTCCGTTCATTCTGCTTCATCTGCTTCCAATTTTCGCCTTTGGACATGATGGTTGTCCCAGCCTCCCGCAGAAGGGTTAGTGTCCTCTGTCACTGGAAAAAATTTTAATCAGTTAAGATGGGGGTTCTTTTTGCCTGATCTTATCTTCTCTTACCAGGTCTCACTTGCTACAATGATTACAGTCATAACATAACCTGCATTTGGAAAAGCTCACCTATCACAGATCAAATGAATCAAATCTGCTCAATATATGCAAAAAATATACAACATTACAAATCTTATTATGGGTAAGAAACACTGCAGAAATGTTTGCCAAATTGTACATAGAACAATAAAACAATAAATGCAAGATTCTATCTTTTCTCCTCAGTTCAAATGCCTCCTGTAAACTACTTCCTTATGACCGCAACAGACCAGACTTATTAAAGTGCTCATTGATTTTCGATGGAACCTACCTGGTAAGAATTAATGTTCAATTGATGCTATGATATATTTAATACCTTCACAAATTTAAATACATTTTTAGATTTAATAAGAACAGCTTAAAGGTATGGAGGAGGATCTTTCATTTGTGGGTGGATCATCTAAATAAGTGGTCCTCCTAATTGTCAGTCACTCGGGTGAATGTTTACGTAAGGCCGCCCTACGTATGTGCTTGTCCCTTTAGTTATCTTTTTCTTCGCATGTGCACTTTCAGACCTATATGTGTGGTGAGCTACGGTTCCAGACAGTCATCGAAGCTCACCTTTCTCACTGCAGTTCTTTAAAATGGCTGAACAGTCAGTTAACTCGGTTTGCTACAAAGTCTAATACAGTATATAGTCCCAGCTCTATGTAGTGATTAAGAGATTTAGGTGTTAGGGTGGATGATCAGGCACATCAAGCTTCTATGAGCAATGAGAACAGCACCTTTTAAACAGCACGTGCATTAGGAGAAATGGGCTTGTGCATGCTCCCGGGCGTGCGTTTTATTTTTTTAAGTGGAGAGGGCAGGTTTTTTAAGAAAATATGCAAAATTCCTCCACAATACCTTTAATATTAAAGGTGCAGGTAAGCTGCATAAGGACCTACACAGAATTTGTTTGTTTTTTGTCTTATCTCTACCTGCTCACTTATGAGCTCTAAATTTCGCTTAACCAGAGGCAATTTCATAGATAACATGACTAGGGTTGGGAATTGATAAGATTTTGACGATTCCAATTCCCTTATTGATTCTGTGAAATCTGGGGCATTCTATTTCTGCCTGCCTCGGCAAAAACATAAGGCACTGAATGGGAGCTGCCAGCCTCTAAGCCAGCCAGGATACCCGTCTCGTCACAGTCATCTAAATCTAATGGAGGAGGCATCCCTTTAATGAAAAAGCATTACTGTACAATTTTGGGAAATAAACTCATCTCCCCCTGATTTAAATAAACAAGCGTCACCTTCCTCTCGCTCCCTGAACTGCAGAGCAACTTCGTAAGACAAGGCAAGGCAAGGCAAATTTATTTGAATAGCACAATTCAGTACAAAGACAATGCAAAGTGCTCTACATGAAGATAAAACAGAATCAAAGCAAGTAGGAATAAATAAATAAATAAATAAAATAAAATAAAAAAAAGCAGAAACAAAAAAGAATATTAAAAACAGTTGGACTAAAGAAAATATGTTTTAGTTGAACTGTTTAACTTGAACAGTCAAAGGCAATCCTAAACAAATGTGTTTTTAGTGTTGATTTAAAGGAACTCAGGCTTTCCGCACTTTTACAGTTTTCTGGAAGTTTGTTTCAGATAAGTGGAACATAGGAACTAAATGCTGCTTCTCCATGTTTAGTTCTGGTTCTAGATATGCAGAGCAGGCTGGAGCCAGAAGACCTGAGTGGTCTGGAGGGTTGATACACTGATAGCAAGTCTGTGATGTATTTAGGTGCTAAGCCATTCAGAGATTTATAGACTAACAGAAGTATTTTAAAGTCTATTCTCTGAGATACAGGGAGCCAGTGTAAGGACTTTAGAACTGGGGATGATGTGCTCTACTTTCTTAGTCTTAGTGAGGACACGGGCAGCAGCGTTCTGGATCAGCTGCAGCTGTCTGATCCACTTTTTAGGCAGACCTGTGAAAACACTGTTGCAGTAATCAATTCAACTAAAAATAAACGCATGGATTAGTTTTTCCAGATCATGCTGAGACATTAGTCCTTTAATCCTGGAAATGTTCTTCAGGTGATAGAAAGCCGACCTTCTAATTGTCTTTAAATGCTTTTGGAGGTTCAAGTCTGAATCTAGTACTACTGTACACCTAGATTTCGGGCCTGATCAGTGGTTACTAGCTGAAGCGACTGAAGCTGTGTGCTAACTTTAGATCCCTCCTTTATTGGTCCAAAGAGTATTACTTCAGTTTTGTTTTTATTCAGTTGAAGAAAATTGTGGCACATCCAGGCATTGATTTCTTCTAAGCATTTCCTCAGTGCTTGAATTGGTTCATAGTCACCTGGTGACATGGTGATGTAAAGCTGTGTGTCGTCAGCATAGTTATGGTAGCTGATGTTGTTGTTTTTTATTAACTGAGCCAGAGGGAGCATGTAGATATTGAATAGGAGGGGACCCAGGATGGAGCCTTGGGGAACCCCACATGTGATTTTTGTCATCTCTGATGTAAAGTTGCCTACTGACACAAAAAAGTCCCTGTCCTTTAAGTAGGATTTAAACCAGTTGAGAGCTGTACCAGAGAGGCCGACCCAGTTTTCCAGGCGTTCTAACAGGATGGAGTGATCAACAGTATCGAATGCTGTACTGAGGTCCAATAGTACCAGCACTGTGGTTCTTCCACAGTCTGTATTTATACGGATGTCATTCAACTCGGCCAGTTTTCTTTGTATACTGCTCCACTTCTGAAAGCAAAACCTTTTGGGCTCATTTTGGCATCAAGACAGTTATTCTTATTGCCACACTGCCAGACAGGATGTTAAAAAACAAAAAAAACAAAAACATAACTTTGTATACCTTGCAGCCTATGGTGATCCTCATTCGTACATGTGGATAAAGTTGTTTGGCACTTATTGCATTTATCTACAGTAAAAATGATCAGAAAGGACAGAGGGTGGAGAGAGAAGTGGGAGGTTTGTAGCAGATGGCCAGAAAATGGAAGTTAAACCCAGAAAAGCAGCTTCTAAGACCTTCTTTATATTTATAAAACTCGTCCACGTACGTTGATCGATAAAAATATGACAGTACTTGCTGTATCTCCTTTTGTGTGTAGTGAGGGGAACTTTGATACAGGTTTAGTTTCACTTGGTGAACAAATAAAATCTGAATATTTTGGAGATTTTAAGATTAACAATTGAGATAATTTTTTCAATAATCTTTTCTCAAATTGATTTTTTATTTTTATTTTTTAGTTTCAGTCATATAGTAACATATTCTTGAATGTGAGCTGTTCCCCTTCAAATCAAAGTGAAATCCTCAATTACAAGCCCGCGTGTCATGGTAAGTCGGAATAGTCATCCCAAGCAATTTTTTGCATGACCTGGTGATCATCTGACATTGTCTTACAGTAAGGGTGAATCCTCCTCAAAAGCCTGAAGTCAACTTTACCAAAGTGTCCTGGTTCACCCAAGTTGCAGAACATTTTATGATTGAACATTACAGCTCACAGCTGCAGTGGAAACAAAAGGAACAGATTTGGAGTGTAAGGTTTTTATTAATAGCAAAGTTCAAACAAGCTTTTAGTATGTGGTATGAAAGGCTGTTAACTTTCTTCCTTTTTGTATTCTTGTTTGGAAGGACCGCCAGACCAAAAATGTTAAGTGCAAATTTGAATGTGAGGCAACACTGGTGCAAGACTGGCTGGTGCAACGGGAGACATATGAGGCCCGTGTTCGTGTGATGTCCCAGACTCCTTACGAGGGAACCTGGAGTGACTGGAGCCCCACTGTGACTTGGGTACCACTTGTGGGAAGAACCAGGCTAGGATCAGGTAAAATGTAGGCTAGTTGTAACTTTTTAGAGATATGCTTTTAAACTGTTTTATAGGACTGTGTTGTGTAAGTAAAAAAAACATGAAAATCAAGAAAATGAAGACAAATATGTTGCATTTGAATTTGGATTGACAGTACTTGCACTGTTCTGCGTTGTTTAGGAAATGATGTGGGTGTTTTGAACTGGTCTATTTTGGGCATGGCACTGTTTGGTTTGCTGTTGCTTCCTGGCGTATGCTTCACAGTTTTGAAAAGCACCTGGTATGTAACAGAAGAAAGACGTCTTTTACTTGATCAAACATGACAGGCAAATTTCTATACATTCATGTAAATTTATTGTCTGTTTAGTTCCAGGGTCTACTTTGAGAAGATTATTGGTTCACCTCTACCCAATCCTGCAAAATCAGCACAATTTAATGTAATTTTTTCAATTTCTTCTTTTCTTCTTTTTTTTTTGCGACACCAGTCTTTCGCAGGGCAACACAGGAACTCACAGAGACATTCAGAATCAAACACTCATGCACACATGTTCACACCTAAGGAGAGTTTATAGATGCCTCAACCTAACAGTCATGTTTAGTGACTGGAATGCCCAGAGAGAACTCATACATGCATGGGGAGAACATGAACGCTGAACTCTGAGCCGAGAATCGAAGCCAGAACCTTCTTGCTGCAAGGCAACAGTACCACAAACTGCGCCACAGTGCAGGTCATAAGAACAAAAAATATTACGTAAAGAAGCATTAGGTAATACATTTAGTGTAAAATTAATCAAAAAATATGCTCAGTTAAACGGCGGTTTGTTTTTCTCCTTTTTATTGTATGGTTAGGAACTACTTTGGTGTTCAGTGTGTTGCCCATGTTTATTTCCTGGTTCATATCATCATATCATGCGAGTTCCCAGGGTCACCATGAAAGAGGCTAGCACTGTCAGTAAACAGAGAGGTTTGTAGCTTGACCCAAAATGCAGCGGCAGAGATGATTTCTTGTAGATCTATTGCTGCCAAAGTTTAAGTCCAAAATTAAACATGTGAAACATGGGAACCAGATTAAAGTTAACAGGAGGTGAGTGACTGGAACTGATGAAGACATGACATTATGATGATGATCCAGCAAAGACAAACTGAAGGGTAAATATAAACTGAGCCAGAGCCTAACATGACAAAGATTGTAGTAATGATCTGAGTGGGAACAGGTGTGCAGAGAAAGAACTAGAAGAAAACCAATGGGAAGGAAGTTGACACTAGGGGGCAATGGAGAGTAACTGCTAAATGTAACCTAAACATTACTAAAAACAATTAGCGACAAAAATAAAACTAGAACAAAGACTAAGGACTAAGGTATTTCATTTTGGCAAAAGAGGAGTCGCCTGCAATCATGGAATCCAGCAAGAGAAGCAAACCATTAACAGTCTAAACAAAAACTAGAGAGTCTCTGGATCCTTCAAAAGTATTTAAACAGCAATTTACTGTCGATTCTTTAGCTTCTATTGAATTTAACTGCACTAAATATTTTATTGAAACAGTAAGGGTGATAATTATTATTATTTATTGTTCCTTTAAATGTGATCAGTAAAATTACATTAGTCTTTAACGTCACATGAGAGGTAAACATACCTCACATGTTTTAAAAGGTTTACTGTAAGCAAAATGATTTGAGAAAAAAATGTTGGAAGACTAAAAATGAATAAACATTGAATTGAGATATAAAAGAATGACTTAATGAATAATGCATAAATTAACAAAGAATCATTTATGTTCTGAAAAACCTTTTAAAAAAATAGTGTGTTTTAATCAAATTATTTTTATATATTAGAACTTTCTTATTGTTTAAAGGTTTATTGTATTTTCTTATACTTTACATCAATTAGACGGCAAAAGATTGAGGGGAGAATGTAAAGGGTTGGGCAGTGACTCTGGTATGTGTGTACAGAGCTCAGCCTGGGGGACCTGCTTATGCTGCTCCCCATGCTTCAAAGTCAGACAATCTGAGAACTTATTGTGAAGGATCGATTATTGGAGACAATTTGGAAAAAGATATGTACCGGTATTAAAAATGTGGTGGACTCAAAATTTCCCACAATGCAACTTGAAAAGTACTGATTATCCATGGTCACTAGACGAGCAGATATATCCCAGAATGCTTTGCGTGGAGAGCTCTCCCCATCTTTGTTATTAGCGGCGGCTAATAGCAAAGATGGTGTAGGCACTGTGCGGGGAGGTGGAGTCACATGACTAATTGACAGCGAAAAGTAGTGATCATCTGTCTGAACAGTAAGTTAACTGAGTTATCTATGTAGTCCCCACTCTTTAAACAGTGATTGATGGATCTAGGGGTTAAGTCAGATGATTGGACATAGCCACAGTAACATTAAAACATCCATATTTCTAATGACTGTTTGAATTCTGCATGTTTAAATAAAAAAGTTCAAAATTTTAAAAAGCCACTTTTTGTGCTACATTAATAATCAGCTCACAAAGTCAAACTTATGTCAAAAGTCAAACAAAGACAAACTTATCCAGAGAACGCATATAAACATGAATCAGACTATTGCAAAATTAAGCTTAAAATACATAAATGGAAAATCTGAAGTGGGCAAAACTGATCGTTTATCTTTATTTAGGGTCATAAAATCTTTTCTAATTATTTAACATTCTTATATCTTCTCTCACTAACCCACCCCCCATTTTTTTTCCACAGACTTGGTTGAATCCATACTTCTCCAGTGAATCCTACCATTCCTTCTTGAAATCAGTGGATATTGTACCTGTTGAAATATTTTCTGTTGTAGATGATATCATACTTTACAACCCAGAAGTTAAAAAGATGCCAGACAACAACACATATGAGTCTAGTTGCTCCAGCTTCTCCAACCCCGGCTATTCTCATTTTTGCAGTGCTTCTCCTGGGTTTCCTTTTAGTCCTGGGAGTCTTGGGCGCAGCGCTGTTGATGCTTCCTACATGAATGTCTCTGTTCAAGAAGAAGAGAAAAATAAAAAACAGGACTGTGATGTGACAAAGAAAAAACAGGAAATGGTTAAGCTACTTCTGATGGGCAGAGTTAACAGTGAAGCATTGGGTATTTCTGACTATAAGAATGTTTACAAGCTTCAGGCTGAGCCCCAAAGGCTCCACAGTACAGACTCAGGCATGAGCAGTTATGAAGAGAACAGCCAGTGGATCATGGAGGGAGACAGTATCCATGTTATTGAAGGAGATGACGAGAGAGATCAGTGTATACCAGAGGACAACGAAGGTAATGAGGCAAAATCCGATGTTCAGAAGTTGTTCGAAGGCAGTGTGGGCTTTTTGGACAAAAGCTCTGTTATTTCACCTTACAAGGTGATCCCAATTATTAACGCTAAGAATAAAGACCTCCACCGGCTCTACAGTGTAGATTCAGGCATGAGTAGTTTTGAGGAAGTCAGTCAAGATAGCATAGAGGAAAATAGTATTTTAGAGATGGAAGAACACGATGAGGGAGCACTGAGCGGGGAAAGAGAGAAGGAAGAGGTTCAGAAGTTGTTTGAAGGACATAAATCTCCACAGTTTGTGTCACATTAAAACAATGTCCCAGTGATGTACAGTGAAGTCCTGAGTTTCCAAGCCTGGATTTAGGAATTAGCAGGGTAGAGGAGGAGAGTCTGGAGAACAGCATGGAGAAGGTTGATTAGCCCACCAAAAATTCTTGCTTCTTGTTCCCTCTATTTCCACCCACTGTCTTGGTGAACCCTTTAGTATCTTTGTCTCACCACCAATTAAACATCTCAGTCACAGCTGGATTAAATTATGCCACCACTTCATAGCAGTGACATATTTAAGTAGATTATTCTAGCGTTAGATAGCACTGAGCATCCGCCTTTAGATGATCGTTACAGGCCGGTAAAACAGCAAAAATAACCAGAGGTATAGGTGTTTGTGCATAAGTTTCCATCTACATATGGCAAAACAGGGCATGCACGATTAATCACTGGTTTCATTATTGTATAGAGGACGTCCTCTTACGTAGTTTAGACCACACTGGAAGTTATGATAATTTATTGATGCAGGTTAATTGACAACTTCCTCCACATCATTCTACCTAGTGCCGCTAAGGGCATTTTGCTAACAAGTATGAGGCATCTTGCTAAAAACAAACAGGAAATCACAGGTTTAGTTGTACTCCACTATAATGTGGGCTCAGTTTGAGTGACACCACAGAACTACCATACCTCCTGAGAGTCAATCAAAGTCAAGGAAATGCTTTCAAAGGTGGGGTAACGTGCAGCTCAGGGGACCTGCCTACTCTTATGCCAATAAACAGGCTGCGCCTACTCACCACAGGAAGGTGTCAGCTCCCCCTGCGTAGGGTTAAGCGGCCACATGAACAAAACCCTTTACAAGACATATAGGGGAACTCTGAAATTTCACAATGTGCTTTTGTTTTTTCAATATTATACTTGCAAATTCACAACCAATCTGCTGCTAATGTTTTCTTTCTAAAAAAACAAAAAAGAAAAACAGAATATAGCTTATGAAAAAATATACAGAAAAAAAAAGATAGACGACAGAACACAAGCTATGTTTACATGCAGAAAATGTTACAATCAAACTAAAATTCCTCCAGACAAAAAAAATATGTTGGCTTGAAACATTCATGGACAAAAGTAATCAGAATAAAAATATATACATTAACATGTCAATTGAAATATTCTGAAAGTGGAAATATGTCACGTTGACACGGAGTGCTCAGGCACTCAGGCGTGATTTAGTCAGAATAACTTGATCTTCAGGATTGGATTGAAATTACATTTCAACCTTGCCAAAGCGTATCAGACTTGCATGTTCACATGACACATTTTCATTCCCATCGCCATTTATACGACTCCTTATTTCTATATAATCAAAGCTACTGTTCCTTATCACCACTGCAAAAAGTATTAGAATAAACATTTGATAAATTATCTTTATTGCATACTGTAGTTTCCAATGATTGATGGGGCTTAGCTTACTGAATACATATATGAAAACCTAAGTCTGTGCTCTGCTTTTAAAAACACTTATTTTTTTATAAGTGAGTGAATCAATTCCTGCATAATATCAAAATTTTTTATTTAGAAGCTCCTTATTGTTCAGCATTATTTAAATTAAGCTGGATCAGAAAGCTAAGACAAACTTGTTGAGGATTTACAAATGATTGGGTTATGCTTCTGCAGGGGTTGGGGCAAAAAACAAGCAGGGAAGCAATAAATAGTTCCTAAATCTGAAGGTAGTTGAGGGTTGAGAAAAATGTGTTATTTAGAGTTCAGATCTTTAAAGCTTAGTTGATCTTTGAAACTCAAACTAGTATGGATGACTGATGCTTAAAGGAGTGAGAAAGGATCGCATTGGTGAAGGACAGATGTTATTGATGAGTACATGATCAGAGAATTAATCATAATAGGTTGTTGAGTTATCCTGTTAACTTTCAGATAAATGCGCATTTCTCAACAGAACTTTATTCAACTTCCTAAAAGCCCTTAAAATGCGAGGAAAGCATGCTCTAAGACAAAGTCAGGTGTTTTGTTAAGTAAATTGTGACAGGTTTACCGGCATACATAATTTTTTGATCATGTACTTTTATTGTAAGTGCAGGAATTACTGTTTTTGCTTAGTAGCTTTTCTTTATTATGCAGAAGTTTTTAGGTGCAACTTTATAATGTTAAATTGAAAATGTTTGCAATATTGTTTTTACGCATTTATTATTGCTAAGAGCTGTGATGCTTCAATATAACCATTGTTATTCATAATTGTTGTTTGGACATCATGAAAGCAAATTCATTTCTGGTACATTTTGTAAAATATTTTTTATATATATATTTTTTAATATTCGGAAATGTTTGTATGCTTATGCTATCAAGTCAAAACATGAACAGATAATGTAATACGGTTTAAAAGCAAAATCCAAATAAAGTATGTGCTGATAATTATCTAAATTTACTGATGTGGTATTTGTATTGAAAAGGGAATAAACTGTTCAAGCAACCTGCATCCTCTTTGTTCCCTACAGACTTATCTATGCAGAGATGTTGACTGGTTACTGTTGCTTGGCAATATTCCCAGCTTACCTGTGATTCACATGATGGTTTACTCCCATTATAAACATAGCTGACACTGTGTAATTATAAAATGAAGCCTTCTGAGCTGTGGATGCATGATTCCTGCTGACATCAATGTCCAAATCCAAATGTGCCCTGGGAACCTTTGGACCTGCAAACAGAGCAGAAGTTGAACTCTCCCTGAAAAGACATTTTCAGTTGAAAACTGAAAGTTCTTAAAAGCTTCTTAAGTGAGAATTGTTGGCAACCAGGGGGGGAGGGGGTCTCTCAAGGAAACTGCAATGACTATTCAAGCATCAAGAGTTTTGGAGTGATTAAATGGCACTCGGACACGGCTCAAGGGAGTCTGTTTCAGGTGACCAGGAGGTTACATCTGCTGCTCGGAGCAATGAGGTCAGTAATGCTGAAATGCCTGTTAAAGAAGGGGTTTACACTTCTCTGAATTTCAGAATTGGCATTCCTGTAGTGTTTCTGTAAACAGAAACCTTTGTTGTGGTTTTAAGTGTGAACTGAAATCGAATGATGGAAAAAGTTTGTATTCTCATGACTTTGGTTTTGCAATAACTTTCAGGTTCCTGTACTCAAAACCCTTTCCTGTTGTGTGCTCTTCAGCCAAGCTCTACTCTAGGTCTTTTAAAACTGCCTCATCTAAAAGGGGAACTCCTCCACATCTAGAATAAATGGCAGTTTCACCTTACATGGAACAGCTGCACATGTAAGAAAGAAAGGTAGATGTGAAATGGCAACTAATGAGTCAGAGTTAGCTTACGTTATAACTTTGAAGATGTAAAAAAATAGATTAAAAAAAAAAAGCTGTACTTAATGTCACTGTCATTTAAAAAGTCATTCTCATTACATTTTGGAGGATGTCACATAGTTTTGCATTTCTTTTTTGACAAAGAAAAAAACTTTCTAAACTAATAACAAAGGAAACCGCTTGAAAACCTACTAAAAAACAATGTTAAAAATGCTAATGCAAAGATACAGGAAACATGCTGTTCTTTGTGAATTTTTGTGTGTTTTTTTGCAACATTAACTTTACAGCTAAACTAATTAAGCAAATATAGAACATTCAGATTTGAAATATGTTATCCATGTTTTGTTTGTTGGATTACTTTTAAAGGATCAGGACATCATTTTGTATTATACTGGTTTTAAGGGCAAGCCAGAAAGGGGGCACATCGTAAAAAAGTTTAAGGCTGAATGCCTGATAAAATTCACTTCTGCTTCCCAACATTGGTCCTGTCAGGGTTTGGTTGAGGTTTTTAGGAACAAAATTCAGAGGTGAGGACAGAGAGGTGAGTTCTTGAAGATTTAATGAAAGTACTCACAGGCAACTGAGGCAAAATCATCCAACATAAAAAGTACAGAAAAAACAGAAGAATGGAGACATCAGGGAAAACATGCATGAGGAGCCAGGGAAAGACGAGGAACCAGCACTGAGCAACTGCACAGGGAGAGTATATATGGGAGACTGAACAAAGACTGGACTAGTGAGCTGATTGAGAGCAGGTGAGAAGAGAGTCTAGAAGGGAGCTACACACACAAGAAGGTAAGAGAGGGCAACAAAGAAAAACCTAAGAACTCAAATATATCTAGAAAACACAACAAAATAGGAATTAAACCAATAAAACTAGAAAACATGGATCAAAGTAAAATTGAAAACTCAAAAGAAAACTTAACAGAACCAAGACCGTGGAAGGTACGTTTTAAGCTCAATTTTTTTTCTGCATCAAATATCACGCTCATATAAAAGTGAAAACCAGCATATTTTACCTCCTTACAATCAGGCAATCCTATGGAAAATTAAAAATAAATCAGTTTGGAACATTTGGTCCAAATTTGGAACAATTGTGCCGAATGGACCTTTTACATACAGAGAGGGTCATAGTTTCACAATGCTTTTGACTAGAGATCTGACATTTTACACATTTGTTGTCTACAACATGAAGAACAAGTGTAGTAAGTGGGATAAAGATTGTATTTTTTATTTGAGGGAAAAAATTAGTTTTTTTTTTTGTTCTTGTGGAAAACCTAGTGAGTCTGTACAATTGTACAGTTTGTGTATCCCCACAAACTAGAAGGTTATAGCTTTTAAATGATATATCAGAAGCATGTGGAATTTACAATATTATTTTACTGGCCAATGGCATTTTTGTAATGCAGTGCACAAGCTATGAAAAGGTGGGTGTTAATTTACAGTTTTAAACTGTCTTTGAAAATGCGCTCAAATTTTGTTCACAAAAGGTTCTGGGATAGAAACAAGCCATGGAAGAAACACATAACAGAGCACGTACTTAAAGATTGTTAAGAATGTACAGTAAGCTAGTTTGTCTAGTAAAGGTTTGTACCTGAGGACAAATGTGCAATGATCTTATAAGATCAAACCTTTGGGTAAAACTTACACTGCATATTAACCCGAATACATAATCCCCCATTGAACATTGTAGTAGAAGTACACGAGGAGCTGTTCTAAGTTGAAACATTGGTGGAGAGAGCTAAATATAGTGCATGCCTGGCAGAAAACCTGTTAAAGGGTGCAAAAGAATGTGGGATTGAGGGTTATATTCCAGCAGAAAAAAAACACAGACACAAAGCCTGAGCTACAAATGCAAAGATTGAAATATGTGTTTTACAGACAATCTCCATTAAAATCCAAAATGACTTCTGCTAAGTCTTAAAAACTTACCTTAAAAAGACATGATGCTACTGTGAAACAAGAAGAAGGTTAATACCGATGCATACCCTATTGCAGCAGGCTGTCGCAATCCCAGTTTTACTCTGTCTCCTGTTTGGGATTCTCTGCAGGTTTTGTTAATGTTCGTATGTTTTATTCTTATTAGGTTGGTCTCTTTTGGTCTCCCATACTTTTAAGTCTTATCTTGCTGCTATATTTCTCTTTTGAATAAGAATCATTTTCTGATTTTTTTTATTGGTGGTTAGGTTCTGAATTATTTTTATGATGGTGTGTTTCTTCCTTGTTTTGTTATAGTTTTGTTAGTTAGCTGCTCCGGGTTATTTGTTCATTTCTGAGTTCTTTGTTTACTTTATGCTACATTCTGCCGGGTTTAGTTCTTTGATGTTGACTTTTGTTTTTATTTGTTTTTGGATTATTTAAATTACAGGTCCTTATTAAAAATAACACCAAGATTTTTTACTTTATTATCTGAAATCAGTTTAATTCCATCCAAATGTAGTTACTAGCTAATCAGCTTCTTTTTAAAGACTCTGGTACAAAGACTATAACTTCTGTTTTGTCTGCATTCAGGAGCAGAAGGTTAACAGTCACCCAGGTTGTTATGCCTTCAAGACGTGCCTGTAATCTATGTAATGGGTTAGCTTCATCTGGATTAATAGAAAGATATAGCTGAGTGTCAGTGGAAGTTAATCCTACGCTGTCTAATAATTCTACCAATTGGGAGCATATATAAAGAGAACTGGTCCTAGCACTGATCTGGAACCC